GCTTAGATCAGTGATATCACACTTTTTTCGAGGGGGGCTAGAACCGAGCGTTACATGCAGCTAATGCTGCAGCTAACAGGAGGACGTAGGAGAAGCTGCGTTTCCGCGGACTTTGAATTTTTGCACATAGATGTGCCTAAACATGCACAGGATACATGGAAAACACACTAAATAGCATATTAAACCAGAAAAAGCATAATATGACCCCTTTAACATTTCTAGAACTTACTTCTTTCAAGAGATGAAACTGACTGAATAATTTATTAACTTAAACAGTTAAAGTTAATTTCTTCCTGTAACAGGAAGTGGTGCCCCTTTCTGAATCCGAGGTTAAATAAAGATATAATAGCTTAATAAAGTAATTACGCTACAATATTTAGTAATTTCCTTTTTGATTAGTTGATCCATTTATGTTTCAAGACAAAAGCCTAATGTTCTTTAATTTGAAGTTCTAAAACTTTATCAGTTACAGTAAATAAATTGATCACATCTATCTTTTGGTAGATTATCAGACAACTAAACAAGCAAAAAGACGTTGAGGAGCTCTGCCAAGCTGCCTTTGTAACATTACATCTAGTGTCATTGAGATTGTGAAAAACAATTGTTATATGCAATCCTATTCACTTAAATTCAATACTGCTTTGTTAATCCCTGCGAGAAAACTTTGAGAAACAACTCAGCGCCAAGAGCAACAAACACACTCACAATATATAAAAGAAAAAAGACCTTTTATGAAAGCAATAAGAAACAAGACCAAGTGTGGAATACTAAAGAAATATAATTATCCCCCAGTGCAGGCAAAGACATAAAATAGTTGTACAAAATTTTAAAGTTGTCATCTTTTGCAAACTTATTACTTTTGTGAGCAACAGGTCTTTAGAGGTGGGAGTTCTCAGATCCTTCACTTTAGTACAATAGACAGAGTGTAAAAATAATTATTTATAAGAAAAGTTTAGTGGTATAAACTTCTCTTAAAAATATTGTGAGGAGCTTTAACTGGTTATGAAAAAGACTGAAATTCATACTGACGTGTCTTAAACTATAAAAAGCAAGCAAGAACATCAAGAATATGATTGATTCTTTCTTCACAGTGATCTTTCATGCCTTTGGCTCTGTGTCACACAGTAGTCCCTTTCACACATGCACTGCACTCCCGAAAATGTCCTGACATTTTCTGGTTGAGCTGCATGTGTGAACGCAAGCAAAGGAATTTTTCACCAAGTCTTTACACCAACATTTTCCTGCCATCCCCCAGTAAACTTTCTGCAACAAGTCGATGTGAAAACGCAGAGAGGAAATACTCAGGGTAATTCACTGTGAGCAAAGGAAGGGGAGAGGATTTTAATAATACGTGACTGGTGCGAAACCAGTGGAATAATCATGTAGTTGCTTCTACCTCTTTTCTGCTTGGCCAGAGATTTACAGCATGAAAGTCTTTTTTTCTTTTTCTTTTTACAATTTTGATGGTGAGAGACATGATAGACTCTTTAAAGAAAGCAAGATAAAATTGCATTTACAGAAAACACTTTATGCAGGTACAGGAGAAGATGTACCCCTTTCCTCCACAGTGGACACCAAAGTCATCTCACACTGAACCTTCCTCAGGGTAGTTGGTTAAACACAAAGAGCATATTGTTGTTGTAGTTTGTAATTTTTTGGTAAATATTAAAGACTTTGGTAAATATTGTAGTGCATTATACCATGTTTTTTTAAAACCTACGAGAAAAAATGTAGTGAATTAAGTAGTAGAACCCCTTCAATGAAATGAAAGGAAGTGCAAGTAAGAACTTGTCCAATAACGAGCAGCTGCTAGATTTTTCCCTCATTTTTGTCTTCCATGCAGCAAACAGCCCTCATGGTGGGCGTGTGTGAACCTGCTCAGTGGGACTCGTCAATAAATCCTCCTCGTCTGACTGTACTTAATACAGAAAAAGGCTTTCTGTGCTGTTGCCACGCTGCCTTGTCCTAGTAACAGTCCACTTAACTTCATCACATAGTAAGAGAAGTGGAATAATACTTGTCTCATCCATGAGTGGGAAGTTGACACCAGAGACGCCTCTTCTGACCGTCCTCAGTGAGTCAGCTAAAGTAGATGTTTCATTTTGCATGCAGTAAGGCTTGGTGGTGTGGGAGCACTGCTGGTCTCACAGTGCACTGAAAGTAAGTGCGTTTGGATCTGAGTTAATGGCTAACCAGGACCTTCTAGATGTGCGAATCACGGTGCTGAATTAAAATATGCAAGAGTGAGGATGTACAATTCCTGGACTTAACTCATGATAAATGAAGAAAATGTATTTTTAGAGATGTCAAAAGTGCACTAATGACTCTCTGAATTCGCCTGGAGCTCGCTGAGTGTTGACGCCGGCGGCCACTTACAGGCTCAGATTATGGCTTTACATTTGCAGAGGATTCTTTCCCTGCAATTATCAGGGAAGGGCAGACAATATGGCTTGTACTTAAAGTGACAGGTCATTTTGTTGGAGCGTATTTTATATATATATATATATTTTTTTTTTTTTGTTAATGCAAATATGCACTGATATAGAGTGACACCATCAGTTGCCTCGAGCATTATCCCTATCAGACTCTGAGCAGCGCTCTCAAACTCTAAAAACGACAAGCACTGTTGGTATTCATGTGAGATCTGTCTTCATGCCCCTGCAGTTCATGTCAGGGGCCTCCAAACAGGTTTACTAATGAAGTGAGGACAAATACCCAAAGCAGATGATAATAATCATGCTGCCTGACTGTGCATGTGACAAGGAGTGAAAAAAGCTGTGAAAATGTGAGACTTTTTTGATAATAACCGGATGGCTGTCCTAGTTTTTAAATTGGCATGAAAAAAAAACAATGAGCCACAGATTTGGATGACACTTTAGGAAATAGCAAATATCTTTCTGACAGAGAGTTAGATGAGAAAGGTAATCTCACTCTCTCGTCTTTATGGGGAAAATACAGCCCGCAAGTTAGCTTAGCTTAGCACAAAGACTGTAAAGAAATGTGAACAATTCGGGCCTTGCTCTGTAGAAAGGTTAAAAAAACTACCAGCACCTCTGAAGCTCAATAATGAACTAGTTATAGCTTGTTAGTTTTTTTTTTTTTTCTAAATCAATGTGTGAAAACAAGAAGTTGTGTTTTTACAGCTGGCGTGGAACTATTTCTTGCCTTCAGATGAAGTGTGTTAATTAGTGAGATTTAAAGGTGCTGCAGGCTGAACTTTTTTCCCTTCTTATAAAACCAGGCTATCTTTATTTGTTTCAGCCGTTTCTGTTAAAACTTAATATTTAATGAACAACGATGAGAATGGTTCTGATCTTATCTAATTTTCTGAAAGAACAGCTAAAAGCTTGTTTGCCTGAAAATTGGTACATGTATTGGGATGTAAGATGTGTAGTCTGTATGTCATATACTAATTCAAATATACAGTGCTTGAAAAAAAGGGCACATTAGCTTATTTATTCTTAAGAAAATGGACAAATAAAAGTTTATATTTCAGCATTTATAGGGTAAAGAATATTTTGAGTAGGCTTTATGTGATGATCTTTGCTTTTTTTTGCTTTGGAAAATCCCTTCGAAAGAGTACCCAGTCATACCGAATTTGTTCTTCTGCTCTACCATGAATGATCTTTTTGTGTTACAGTAACAGAAATAGTTGAAACATGACTTTGGGGTAAGGTCACCAGGGGCACCTGAACAAAGCTCCGCCCAGCAGACGCCTACGGGTGCCAGGCTGAAAGTGAGACCTGCCTCCAGGAGGAATGTTTACCCAAGCTTAGCACAGAGCCTTTATTGCTCACAGCAGCATGAGTTGAATCCTGTCTGCATTTCACTTCTTCTGTTCCAGCTCTGTTCCATTTCATACAAGGGCCTGCCCAAAATGAGACCCCCCCCACACACACACACACACACTCTGATGACAAGAATAGCTCCTTTAAAGACACAGGGTGAGAGAGTGTAGGGAAATTAACCATGTGTGATCAAGTATAAAGGAACTGTACACCAGGAAAGGAGGGAAGGCTTAGAGGAATTTGAGCAAAAGGATTCCAGGAATTCCTACTAGAGACTCAGAGTTAAGTTATTTATAAAGAGCAGGGATTTAAACTGTTACCTTTTAACAATATTCATAATCAAATAGGATACAATAAGATGCTATTTAAGGATGGATTGACAGGAGGACTGGGAAATTTAAGTTAGAAAAATTACAATGCAGTGTAATATAACTGTGTTTCACGTCTCAGAGCTGAGCATTTTAATGGATTTAGAATGAAAAGCTTTGCATAATGTTGCGTCACCTTACATTTTCAGGTGGACTCCTGGTCAACATATGAGGAGTTACATGTATTGCACTTGTTAAATGATTGTACAGCTTGCTTTAACATTTAACAGTTATACTAAATGAATTGTGATTTCTCACACGAGTCTGCAATTCTGCTTGTACTTCAGTAAGGATATGGAAGAAATATCAAATGTAATAGCCTATACGACTTAATTGTAGTTGTATTCATTTGGGGAGAAAATTGGCCTATAATAAGATATTTTATACAACAGCCTAGTACTATTTAGCTCACTGCAGTGATATTCTCAGCTGTGGTTAAAGCTGCACTTTACTGATCATCTTCTTACAGTCCTTTGTGCTCTATCACACCCTGCATACAACCTGATCTTTAACACACAGGAGCTCCTACTGTATCTATTTCCAAAGACAATGCACACACGCAACAGAACCTTTCTCTCTCTGTCTCATATCTCTCGCATACGCGCACACACACACACACACACACACACACACACACACACACACAAACACCCACGCACACACGCACACACGCGCACACGCGCACACACACACACACACACACACACACACACACACACACACACACACACACCTTTCAGGCACTTAAAAGAAAAGCTTACAAAAACTTTATTTTCATGTAGCTCAGATGATGAGGGCGCAGGTAAAGTACTAGATACTGTATGAAGCCTTTAGGATGTTGTACCTTGTATGTGCTGGTTGACCACGTTCTCCAGCCGGTCGAGCCTCTCCATGATCCGGAATGTGTCTCCTCTTTTGTCCCCTTCTAACTTTCTCTCCGGTAGAGGCATGGGAACTTTGATATAAATGTTTGCGATGTAGTTAGTAACCCATCCGACATAGAGCAGGCACACTATGTTGGTCATGCCGCTCAGGATCACGCATGTGGACACCAAAGTTTTGGTTCTCCTGGTGCAAGCCATGCCGACATCCCTCCATACAGCCTGCAGGATCCCGTTTAACCGGAGCACAGGGCGACAGACGCCCGTAAAGAAAACGCAATTATGAAGTTATTTCCAGCGATTTTACAGATGTGCAGAATCCAAAGCGCAAAGCTTTTGCTCAAAAAAAGTGATGTGAATTGACGCAGGTTGCTGTCAAAAATCTACAGGTGAAGGTTTCCTCCCTCGCAACATTGCAAACCTCCGTCAGCTCCAGTTGCATGTGAAGATCAAGGAAACAGGCAGCATCCTGCAGCAGCCAATGGGAGGGATGGTGAGGACTGACAGCCGCCGCTGCTCCTGCACGCGCCTCGCTGCGCACTGATTTACAGTGGAAGTGGATCTGACCGGAGTATTTCCATAAACCCTGAGCACAAAGTGGGGTAACCTAATTCTACCCACCAAGACAACGACCACGCAGACACCAGTCTGCACATTTGATGTTTAATTCCCCCCTCAGTGAGACAAGTAGTGAGACAAATCAAGCTGAAGATCCGAGAGTTGATTATTATTTTGTCCCGTGCGCGAGCAGAAACATTTAAGAGTTAGGCTACTGGGATTAGAGCTTTCCAAATTAACATGAATGATTGGATTTCTTGCTGCAGTACTCGATGAATCCACGAGATAGAGACAATGAGGGATGAAGGTGTGGTGGGGTCCATGTTATAGGTCTGGCTCTTGTCCGATTCAACCCTTTAGACATAGGTTTGCATGCAGAGAAGAGGATGCACTCGTGCGCATTTGGCTGTAATTAAACTTGTTTGAGCAAGGAAATATTGCATTACTGCTTATTTCATCAAATGGGCAAATACATCTAACAAACTGTATTGTTTGATTGTTGATAATGAAAGTAACCTTTAAAATATTCCACTTGCTAATTTATCTTTTAAAGGTCCCAAAATGTGTGGCACTTTGTATTCAGTGGATTACAGTTTGGAGGTGGCAAAACCTATTATGTCTATGCAGCACAGAATTGGAGAAAATGGTGAAATAAATGGTTAAATAAAAATAAGATAAAAAGCTTAAAAGGCATAATTTTTGAAGAGGCTTTGGCCTTGCACACACTCCATGCACTAATTATCGTGTCTGCAGGAATGTAATTCAAACTGTGAAGCAGAGCCAATGGATTTGTGTGTATAACAGCTGTTTGTCTCTTTTAATAAAAGCATTCTGCCCTGAAATTTATTTTAAGTCGTCCTCTTACTCTCATCAAATAATTTTGCTTGTTTGGAAAAATCCAGCATTTGTCTGTAACAAAAATGAACACTCAGTCAACATGATAACTGCAGAATGTGTGAGCATGTCATGTTTTTTATGTATTTTGACAAAGAATCTTGATTGTGTTTTGACAGTGTTTTCCAGGATCCTCCTCGACAGATGATTATTTGCTAATGACAGACTTTGTCATCCAATCTGTCTGACAGCTACAACACAGCAGGCTGCCAGAGTGAAAGTTTTGTTCTCTGTGATGAAAGATTTTTCACCAATACATGATTTGTTGAATAAACAGCTTTATTTTTATGCTTCATTTACTATATCCCATGATATCTTGATTAAGTGTTCTGTAAGAAAACGACACAGACAGACAAATAACCTTAAATTTCAGTAATACTATCAGTCGCTGCCTCTCAGAGCAAAATTCAATAGACTCATGCTATTGTTTCTGTCTACTATCATAAACCACTAGAACAGAACAAATACAGGAAATTAAATATAAAACTTTCAAACTGGTTATTTTAAACTCAAATACACATCTGATGACTTGAATTAAAAGCATGCTGTTGCATCAACTGTCTAAAACTTCTTGTGTCAGTCAAAGAGCATCAGTGTCATATAATCAAATGACAGCCTCGTCATTGCCCTGCCTGCTCAGCAGCAGCAATTTATGGCAGCGAGATGATCAATGCAGGAGAATGCGGCCCATTTATCTCCTCTATTAGACCTGCCAGAGTGCAAAAGTTTGCTGTATGTGAAGGGTTTTCTATTATCCAGTTACATGGCGAAGAAGAAATGCTTTCTAGCTCTTTTTGCTCATTTGATCTAATCTTAACACACACGACTCTACTGAAAGTCAATAAAACTGTTTCACACTCCTATTTCAGTTCAAGGTACAACTCTGCACACAAACAATTACATTTTAAAGTTTGAAATACTGACAAGGGACTCATTTAAGTCTGCTGAGACTGAAATAATAAGTCAATTATTTAACAAGACATTAAGTATACTTGTGAAATAATTTCTTGTATAATTTCTTCAAAAACTATCAATTATCCAAATTATTAGCCCTTACTTTGTGTTCAGTGACTATGATTACCACAGATTGTTATGACATTTGATTGACAAAATGATCAGTCAAGAAAGTATTAATCAGATTAGGCCTAATTGAAAAATAAATGTATCAAAGTCCACATTTCAAGATATGTTACATCACATACATCAGATATTTAACCAGCAAAATATTTAACCTTGCAGCATTTTCCATGTACTTTTCAAGTCCACACAAGTCCTTGAGTACTTGCTTTCTACTTACACATCACCCAAAATATGCATTTTGTAATGTGAAAAAGATAAATATTTAATGGACATTTTAAAAAGGATTAATTATTTATTGTACTATTAGCACAATGGCTTAAAATGACTTCAAATGATCCACACGATGCTCAGACTGCAAACTGCACTCAAGTAGAGGGAGATGCTTCAAGAGATAAATATAATTCAAGTGAATGGAAATTAAAATGAGAATATTACATCTTGGCTTGATGACCAGTCAGTCAGTTCGAAGAAGCAGATTGAAAGATTCACTCTTTTCCAACATACTCATTAGTACATCACAACAGCGGTACTCAAGCCCCCCTTAAGGGTGAGCACCCCTCCCACAAGAAGTTTTGTGAATATATTTAGGCCTTTGGAATAATAACTGAAACACTGATCTGTTGTTGTTTACAGCGATGCAAGTGACAATGACGATGATTATGCTGTGTGAATTTATAGGAAAAAGCTAGCTAGCTATAGCCTAATTGTTTGTTGCTGTTTCCATGGTAACTTAAGATGAATCTTGTCTTGTTTCAGGTGTTCATTACCCATTCCTGAAGGAGTTGAAGTATCTCAGGGTCTTGTTCTCCAGTGAGAGTAAGATGGACCGTGAGATTGACGAGTGGATTGGCTCAGTGTCTGCGGTAATGCGGCCACTGTACCAAACCGTTGCGGTGGAAAGGGAGCTTAGGCTATAGACAAAGCTATCAATTTACCGATCCATCCTCGTTCACACCCTCAACTATGGTCATAAGCTATGGGAAGTGACTTACAGAATAAGATCGTGGATACAACCGGCCGAAATGAGTTCCCCCCATGGGGTTGCTGCATCAACCTTAGAGGTAGGGTGAGGAGAAGAGCTTCTCCTTCTCATCGTAAGGAGCCAGTAGAGGTGATTCGGGCATCTGATTAAAATGCCTCACAGACGCCTCCCTTTGGAGTTTTTTTGTGCATGCCAAACTGGGAGGAGACCCCGGGGTTGATTCAGAGTTCGCTTGAGGGATTATATATTCAGTCTTGCCTGGGAATCGTTGCTAGGGAGAGGTAAGTCTGGGTTGACTTACTTTGCCTGCTGCCACCGCGACCCAACCTCAGTTAAGTGGAATAAAATTGATGGCTTTTTTGTTGTTGTTTTTTTTTTCTTAAAGAAATATTGTCCTTGCGAGTGTAATCACTGAATTTAAGCCAGCCTCAGGACAGTCGGAGGTTGGTATCAGGGACCTTTGATCCTCCCTCTGAGTGATCTACCAAGCAAAGCAGCTGTCACATTTATCTAAACCAACAGTCTCCTTGCAGGCTGATTAATTACTGCGCGTAAGAGGTTATCCTAATCATCTGTGTGAGGTCTAAGAGACAAAGAGACTACACTGGAAGTTCCTCTGTAGTGGAGACAGCCAACATTAATCAACAAAACACACGTTAGACATAGTAGAATTAAGTCTGACGACACAGTAAAGATTAGTAAAAGAAAAAAAAAACTTAGCTCAAAGCTCCTGTAGAATCTTTTTTAATGACTTTAAATTTTGGTATTCATTGATCTTTTTTTAGGCTGATGTTTTAGAAAAGACACTAAATCCCTTCCAGATTCAAGAAGTGCTGTTCTGAGGCTGACCCTCTGATTGTCTCACAATCCTCCCATTTAACGGTAGAAATGGCTGACTCAAATCCAGCCCTCATGTGGTGTGGGAGGCTGACCCTTGCCTCTGAACTCTCAGTGTGCGGGGAAACCTGCTCGAAAAAGTAAATTTCCCTCGAGACAAAGGATCACTTTCAATTAACTCACGTTTAACTGGTGCACTCCACTGATTGTTGTACAAAAGACTGAAAAAGGCTGAAAAAGGCAATTATTTGTAGTTTAAAAAGTCATGAGTCATTTACAACATTCAAACATATACAACAATAAGATGGTGCCAGTGGTAAAGCTACTTTTCTTATTAGATACTGTTATGTCAAAAACACAACCAATGACTTATGATTCATCCACACTTATAGATCCTAATACAAATAAACATGCTGACAGGCCAGCATTAATGCAACACTAATCTGCACGTACACACAGAAATGCACAATATACTTTTAGTATATAGTAGCACTTTTGACGCAGGCAGGAATAATATATTGTTAAAACTTGTCTCAGTGAAGGACATCTATATTTCTAATATCACAAGTACTCATACCAATGCTATTTTTAAATCCTTAGATCCTTATAATTTATCATCACGTATAAACATTTACACAAGAGCCAGTGAGAAGAAGTTTTCACTATAAAGATCACAGCTGTGGTTTCAGCCTCCATCTGACGTTTTATCACCTGCCACTTAAAAAAAAACACACTTGAGTGGATTGAAGTAATATTCCCAACAGGCTGATGAATGTTTGTGCTTTAAATCAGCTCATATATATCGAGGTAAGAAGCTGCGAAACTACATCTCCAGACGTGGACACAGGGGTTGAGGGATAAGAATCAAAAAAGCACATTTATTTATAGAGGCTTTCATCACGAGTGCCTCTCAGAGGACTTTACAAAGAGAAAGCGCGATCTGTCCTTGATCACTCTTATCCTAATCACTCACATGATAAAATGAAGTGCTGTAATACATGATGAAACAAGTGAAATGTAAGGCAAACAAAGCACATGACAAAGACAAGCTTCACACATTTCATATAACTATAAGAGGTGGACACTATATCAGGTGTATGATCTAAAAAAAAAATCTTAATCAACAGAGCTGCAAGAAATGCTTTTTTTTTAATCTCACGGTATAATTGTTTTTTATGAAAAAGGGTGACAGAAGAGGCATGTCTGGTCATTTATATGTATAT